GTGAATGCTGGGCGACATTGAAAATTTTGAAAGGATATAATATGATACGATAATTGCCCAAAAGTGAAGATATCGATATCTATTATTATTCATAAGTTATTAAGCCACACCCATTAACTTTAATATTACTAAAACGGCTAAATAAAGCTATTTCTGAGAACAATTATTAATGAAAAGTATTATATAAACCTTCTTTGGCTTTATATACTTCAGCCACTTCATCTGCTTTCCAAAAAAGTATAGTTTAGTAATTTTCGAGATATTACTGCTATAGTTAATTAACCATTATTAAGGTTATGTAATTGTAAAAATTATGTGAGCGTGCATGGTCATGTTATTGATATTTTCATTCGACTTTCTACGATATTGATAAGTATCAATACCGCATTATATCAAATAAATACCGTGAATTTTAATATATTGCCCAGTAATAATTTTTGTGACTTTAATTTGTGTGTATTGGATTTGATTTTGAATTTTTGATTAAGAGGGATTATTGGAGATAAACTTTAGTTAATTCATGACAGTTAGGAGCATCTGTTACAGCTAAATGACATGGTAGTACATTTAAATGTACAAAGACCACTCTCTCTACTGGATCAAGCATCCAGATTTTAAAAATAAAATAATGATACTTAATAAATAATAATTAAATAATGAATAAAAAAATAAAGGGTGCACTCTTGTCAGGACAACCATACACCTTAAAATTCTATTATTTTACAGTGACAACTGAAACAACAGTTGATTTAAACGCCCATCCTACAAGGAGGTACAGTGTATATTAGAGTAGTAATAGTAACTCCTACTGGTTTCTAGAATAGAAAATGTATGTTTGCAGGTCTTACTGGGTGAATAATGCATTAAATAGTTTTCCTACTAATTATTTTAGTAAATACTTGCCCAATGCTATTACTTGCTCCGCATTAATAGCAACGAAAATTTCAAACTATTAATAATAATAATTAACAGTATCCTCATGCCCGATTCTGGGACCAGTATGAGAATTTACTAAGGCAAATCTCCCAAAAACTCCTCCCATAGGTCACGTGATACATGTACATGTAGGTGGAGCATAAAATAATTGTTGTGACTAGTCAGCATTATTGAAGAATCAATATCCTATAAGTATATTCTTATTTGTATTATAAATAAATGATATCATTTTCAAATAGGTATACTTCCAAAAGAAGCCTTAAAGCCTCCTAGACTTTGTAGAGTAAAATAAACCATCAAAATATATACACTGTAAGTGGCACTCTGTCCTCAACGCATACATACATGTGCTTATTAATATCAATCACAAATCACCGCTAAACCCTCTTCTCTACTTGGGCTGGTTAGGCAGAGGGTTTGTCAGTCTAAGCATAGTGGTCTAATGGTGGGGATTATGTACATGTAGCTGGCTAAGGGCCATAAACAGAGCTAGAGGAGGCATGTGGTAGGTGGGGCAGAGGTGGGACATGTTGGTAGTGATTTAATTCGTAGAATAGGACTGTCACAGTGACTCCAAGGCCAGAGACATATTTTATTTAATGAAACTACTAATATTGATAGGCATATACCTGTGTACACATGCATACATGTACAATGTACTGTTATGTACATGTACCGTACAGACATACACAAAGATACATGTGCATGCATGTGTATATAATTTGTTCAGTCTTTATACACAGTACCTCTCTCTTTTTACACCTCTCTTTTCTCTCATAGAAATTTTGAAAGCAAAAGAAATAAAAGAAGCAATGAGTGCTAACAGAAATTCTCGAAACAAGTAATAAGCACATATAAATATACATGTACATATACATATATATAAATGTTAAAATGTTTGTCATTTTAAACTTTGGAGGAGGCAACTAAACTTTCCCCCTACAAATCATTCATGCACCCCTTTAATGCTTGAGGACTGAACAGCAAAATTTGCAAAATGCTTCCATGCATCCTTAAACATATACATGTACATGTATATTTATTTTTCATGTAGGAAACAATGTGAGGCTCATGGTCAAAGAACCACTGCAGGTAAAATTAGATGAACAAAAATAAACAAACAGTCCTTAATATGCAACAACAACAACATTTGGTTGCTAAGCAATACACAAACAAAACATAATCACAAGACACATGAATACACATTACCATGCATCTCCAGCAGACATGGTGACAGCTAAACATACATTCACTACATAATGCATTGCTCATTATTAAGTAATAATTACCACTGGTCTATTACTATTATTACAGTACTTTGGCCAAAATGTAACATAATGTACATTAATTTGTACAATTATATATAAGACATGAATTAATATGCAATGGTGTGCATGTAGATGCCATAACACATTCATGATGGATCCATGCTTTAAACAAAGTTGCCTTTCAGCAGTAAGTGATACAAGCATACTACATGTACATGAAGCTTTCTATTACTATTACCATGCATTCTATAAAAATTGTCATTACACAATTATTACAGCCAAAGACAATATCATTCCTCATCTTTTAGATGATGCTATGGAAGAACTAACAATCTCTGCTGAAGGGAATCAAACAATAGATGAGCCACCAAACCTCTCATCAACACCAGCCAAACCAAGCATTGAGCTTCAAGTAGAGGACACTGGAGCAACAAGTACCACAGTCGAAGAAGATAATGTCCAGATCCTTGCACCATATCACGCCGTTAAATCTTTACGAAGTATAGTGGTCGCTGACGAAAATGAGGCAGAATTAGATGACTCTGATGACTCTACTTCTCTCCCTGTAAATGAAGTGTTGAGAGTGGGGGATAACATCACACAGCTTCTTCCCACTAGCAATGATATACAGGATTTCAAAGCAAATGACCCATTTCCAATACAGACCACAAGTGCCTCTAGAGCCACTGTTGCTGATTTAATATCGGCTTCGTCTATCGATAATGATATCAGTCATAATGAGTGGGTCTTGGGAAGTAAGAAACTCCCAGAGATATCCAATAAAGAAGCATGGGTGGTGCCTAATGATTCAAGTACTGCTTATTCCAGTCATGAAGCCACTTCACTGGAAGAAGAGACAGTGCTGATTGAAGATCAGGGAGGCGGTGCTTCTTGCTTGCTGGTTCTACCATCTACTAATTGGAAGGTTCTAAGAGAGATTAAAGATGGCAAGAGTGAAATTGTGGTACTTCCTGAAAAGCCTTTTGTACCTCAAGAGGCTTCATCTGATTACTCCTCTGACACTGATTAAGAAGAACTTAAACTTTTTGCTGCAATAGATTATAGCTAGTGTGTCCATGTAGTGTGTGTAGTGAACAAGTTATAGGCACTTTTTGTTAAACTTTTCTGCTGCAATAGATTATAGCCAGCTGCGTGTACATGTAGTATGTATGTGTAGTGAACAGTATTATTTCTATTTTAGTGAAACACTTTTTGTTGTTAGTGATTTGTGGACACAACTATTAAATAAAGGAAGCTGTGAGGCAGTAGTGGGATGTGCTTAACACACCCAATACAAATAGCATTTAGCATTTTTAGGTATGTCCCACAAACACTTAACTTGTACAGAGCTTCATCAAACTTTCACTGCATGACTCAAAGAAAGGAAGAAGATATGTAATAGCTACAGTACATTTGGAATCTCAGCACACCATCAAGCCCAGGAGAGAAAGGTAGCAGGGCAGTTTGACAGTCAGTACAAGCACACACACATGTACATTGTATCACCTTGAGAGACACCTACTGTTGTTCTAACTGACTCTAAAAATGAATTATAGCTAGGCTACCTTAAAACCTCAGATGAAAGCACAGAACAATCTGTATCAACAAAGGCAGTCAACTAAATGGATTTAATTATGACAACCTGTCTGAGGTTGTTTGTAGTGTCATATGGAGTATTGCTATAAAGAACCTAATAAGAGAGTACTGACTCATCTGAGATACAAGAGTCTACTATGAATTGGCTACAATGTAACTTAAGCTAATTTCATTTTAAAATGTTTTTCTTGGGCCCTAATCTAACCTCACTTCATTTATCCTGGAATGTATTTACAAGTACATATGTACATGTACATGCATACCTACACACTATAGCGGGGACGAAGCTCTTAAAGGTTCGAAGCTTCGTTCAAAGTCAAGTGCTGCCATTGGAAGAAGAAAAAGCTTCATTATTAGTAGTTATTAATAGTTAATGTGGTCAAGATAGTCTACCTAGACTACAAGTTTATATAGTTGGCTGAACTATGACTTTGACAGTACAAACAGAGGTGGGGTGATAATTTTTGCTTGTACAATGAAACTTCAAAGGCTTCGAATTTTTTATTTGAAGGTTGCCAAGTGACCTTTATCCCAGGCTCCCAGCCCTACTGCACACACTTAAATTGATTCTAAGCATTGACAAAGTCATGGGCATACACAAAACAAGACAGAGAACAATCAGTAATTAAGGGCAGCACACATTCTATAGGATTCGAGATCAATTTAGTGCTGATATAAATCCAGTCTCAAGGACTGAGTCAATGCTGTGCTTTTTTGAAGCATTGATTGAACTTTACATTACTTCACAAATACAGGTGCATAAACATATGTAAGATATACTTTAATATTATTGCTAATAATAACAATTAATCTAATTATATTCATTTATGCTTGTGCAATGACTAGGCAAGCTGATGTCATACCCCCAACAGCATTTTACACAACAGCACACAGAAAACATGTTGCATGCTCAATTGACAGTATTGTATCATTTTTACAGAACAAATTTAGTACAGTGTAGGTTGTGCATTAGACTGTGTTAGCAGTGGAGCCATAATTACGCTTTGATACTGACAGACTAAAAATTAAAGTATGCGTGTACAATGTACATGTATGTGCTGCATACACTGACACTACATAATCAATTTAAAAGACTTAACATTTACATGTACATGTAATTAAATTCAGTTAAATTTCCTTGTCATCAGTGAGTGTACATGCCATAAAAATTACATGTACATGTACAATACTAAATCAAAACTCACAATTGCATCTTCAGTCATCATGCAATGAGTACTACATGTAGCTTGCATCACTTCAATAAAAGGAAGAGAGAACCTGACCAGTGAGCAATATACTGTTCCTGTGACTGTTAGTTCAGTGAGAGAGATCATGGATCTGATAATGATCACAGACTACAATCTGTCTACAATAATGACACCATTATATAAGTGACAGTCACCTGATGCCCACATGATGACCTTCAGACTCTTCCTAGCAGCTTGCATGCAGTTCAGTCAACTTGAGTACACCTACATCAATAATCAAATTAAAGGTAGGACTATAAAGCATATATTATACCTGTAGGGGAACCATTCCTTTATAATCAATATAGAATGACTCAGAACAATAACTGTTAATGCTACATTGAAACAATACAATGGCATTATTCATTTCATTATTCATAGCCAATAATATGCACTGTATGTACATGTACACCTATCCATGCCAAAATTATTAAAAAATTCTAATATAATAATATAATGGCCAAAAGTCAAAAGACAACTTTTCAAAAAGGCCAGAAACAAGTAACACCAACACCAGAATTAAGAAAAGAAGGTGACTATCAACCACACCAAGGCAATGTCGACCCATCTAATGGAAGAGCCAGTAAATACAAGCCTAATGCTAACATTATATATAAGACAGGGTCAGGGCCTGGACCACCTAGTATAAAATTAACCTCGAATACCTAAAAATTGATGTCCTGAATCAACACCTACACTTCAATGTCTAAAGTCTTACCCGAACTACCCGAATCAACTAATTATTAGAATCAACTAATTATTAGAATCAGCTAATTGGACTAGTATGTACATGTACATGTATGTGTATCGCTGTTTTATAGTCAAATGAAGAGAGAATTACATGACATTTTTTGTCATTGTTTACTCTGATAATAATCATTTGTAGCTATGACAACCATTATTCATTGATTTTTCTAATAATTAATAGCCACACCCAAAGAATAACATCCTCAAAAAAATAAAAATATGGCGACAGAGTACCAGGAAACAGAGCTTCAAAGACAAAAAACAGAAAATATTCGAAAAGATCAAGTAACACAAAGACCAGAATTAAGAAAAGATGATGTCTATAAGCCATACCAAGGCAACATAAACCCATCTAATGGAATAGCCAGTCAGCCTAAGCCTAGTAACAACATTGTACATGATACCAGAGTGTCAGAGTCAGGACCTGGACCACCCGGTTCTACTAAATTAGTACCTGGAACAACTAAACCAACACCTACACTTCCAGGACAAGTGCCTGAACTCTCTCCTAAACTGCCCCAATCACTCACAGAACCAGAGCCTAAACTTCATGAATCAGGATCTCAAGGGATAAAATCCCTGCCTACAATCCAAAAACCAGGAACTAAACCTCATCTTGAATCACCACCAACACTCCTGGAATCACACTTTGAGCCAATCGAATCAACACCTACACTCCCGAAATCAGAAATTAAAACTCCCAAATCACCACCTACACTCCCAGAATCAGAGCCAGAACTGATAGAATCAGCTAAAATACATTACTTAGAAAACAAAACGTTCAACATCAAACCAGCAATTCCATCATGGGACAGTTACCAGACACAAAGATGCTACAGCAGTCCTCATTCATTTAGTCCTTATTACATGAGAAGAATTAACAACAATACAGTCAATGCAGTGAACCCAGAGTATCTAACTACAGCCAGTCAGACTATAAGTCAGTCATATCTGGGTGGTAAAAGTGTATCCAATGCTCAAAGCAACAAAAACTGCATTGTGTATAAATCACGCTCGCTTTTAGAATCAGGAGAACGCTTCCCAGAAAAACTTGTCACAATAAGCTACCGAAGCTTTAAAACACAAGATGTTGACATTGATGATGCCACTACCAATACTGAATGATAAAGATGTACATGTACACATTAACCATAGCTCGTACAAAACTACATAGTACAATCACATACAGGTGCATAAAGCATTTTAACTTAACTAACCTCATGTACATGTACATGTAGATGTACTCGATTAGCTACTTGTTTGCAACTGTTTATCACTAATCTTAAATACATGTACATGTAGCATCTATTAATTGTATAAATGATTATATTTAATGTAGTAAGTGTACATATTATACATGTACATGCACATGTAATAATTGATAAATCTCGTAAACTGTTTTTTCTTTTTAGTTAATCATTTCTATACAGCTGTTTAAATTTTCTGTTTATTTACTCTTTGTCAAAATTTTTGATAATTTACCCATTAAATCTTTCAATTAGTTAATATTAAAACAAAATGATACTGAAACCATGCAGCGAAGAAACTTGATACTATTGCTGATCAGCTTAATACATGTACATGTACAAATAAACAAAGTAACCTAAAATATTCATTTAAGAAGTACAGTACTTATAAAAAAATCTTACACATGCATGAACAGTGTACATGCATGCCTAGTGTAATGTGGTGACTTAATTGTGGTTTTGAATGCTGACACAGTAAAACCAAAAATTTAATTTCTTTCATAATTCCTCAGAAACATACAATTTTCAAAAATATTTATCCACAAAAATAATTATATGCTGCATAAATATACATTTGCGGATGTAGAGGAGTACACAAAAACATATTGCACATGTACATGTAAATGAGCGTAAATGTACGTGTAATTATAACTGCTACTGTGCTACAATAAATGTCAGTTAGAAAATAATGGACAAATTGCATGGACATACTTTTATAATTCCTTCAATTTTTTCATTCTTGCAATGGACTTGTACTGTGCCAGAGCCACATCACCTTTTAACTAATAATTCCATAGATAAGTTAATATTGCTCTTGATATTGCTACAAAAAAAAACAATAAAACTCATTTCTAAAATTAGTATACACAATATAACCACAATAATAATCACAAAATAAAAACACCAATAATAGTTTACTAATAGCTTACTAAAGCTGAAGCTTCTGATAACAATTATATACTGGGTGATGCCCTTTGTTACAGCCATATGGTTAGTTTTAATAAACCACACCTACACAGGAAGTCTGTCAGACTGTCTTGTTACTCATCTATGAGCTCTTACAACATGTACAATCATCAAGAGAATATCTGGTAAAGTCAAGTGGCTACAAAAATACAAAATGCAAGTGGCATTTAAATGCACTTGTTTTACATGTAACTAACTTTTGTTTTAACTTAACTTGGTCATCTGGTAAAGTGCATGACTAGATCTATTACATATATATTTAGGCAAAAAGAAAGTGACAATAAATGTATTTATTTGTTCTTAATCTTACTTAATTTGGTTATTTTATTATGCATGACCATTTGTGATTCCGTTGTTTGTACAGGCAGAACAGCCACAGTGTATTTATAAAGTAATACTGTATAATGATTATGAATCATATCCAAACAGAATTAATGATGCCGGCATCTGCAAATGTATAGAGCTGCCACAATGATGCTTGAAATAAAGTCTAAAATAAACAACAAGCAAGTCCATACTAGTGAACATTGCCGGCACATCATGCAAGTATAAAGTAGAGCGCACTGTTCTTAAATTCAAGTTGAATCACTTATTTGAATTTGATGGAAGAGTAAAACTACATGTAGCTGCAAGAGTTGATAAATGTGAAGTCAATAAGTGTGTAAGTCAGTCAATAATGATAGTACCAATCAGTTGAGTGACCAGTTAGAGGACGAGGAGAATAATAAGAGTCTACTGGATACTGCTGGTAGCCATGATTGTATCTTGATGTTAACATGTCCACCTCTTCCTTTACTCTCATGTCATATTCTTCATCCAGTAACCTGTAAGAGTGAAGATTTATGTACATTCAATCTAAGAGTCTTCTCTCAATTGTTGCTGCTGTCATTCTCTAGTGGGAATACTATATACATGTAGGTATGGCTGAGCTTATGGGTGTAGCTATCAATCATACGTGTACATGCAATGTAACTTCATGTACAGATCACAATGACACATGCATGTGGACTGGAGCCTCTATACAAGAAAATACATGTACATGCAACAATAGGCAGCATGTGTATAGCTCCCAATTTCTGTTGCTCAGAAATTCCATGAAAATTCTAGTCTTGTTGCAATTACAGTTTGTCATTCATCATTTTTCATGATTTTTGTACATTTAAATTTGCATACTCAATGGAAAACTACAAATGAACTTGCAAACAATGTCTTGAAAATTAAATTAATGCCATGATACCACAAGTGTAGAAATTATCAAGGTAATAAATTTTTGGGGTTATTTGCTAGTTGCTTTATTTTGTAAATTTCGCGGATAATCATGGAAGGCATCATTAGTGAGGTCACGGGATGCAATAATTGTTGCATGTGGGCTCTCCTCATTTTCTACTTTGCTTCTCTGCATCTTTAGCAACACCAGCTGCTTGTAATTTCTCCTTGGGTTTGTCTTCTTTCACTATCTTGTCCTCATTTTTGTCCACATGCTTGAAGACCTTGTACAGTGCCATTTTATTAATTGGATGTGTGGTATGTGTTCCATTCATAAAGAGTTAAAATATTAATTTTCGCGGTTAGCTGGTACCCACAAAAACAGCAAAAATTAATACACCTCGAAAATTTCTACACTTACAGTATGACAATTTTTGACAGGCAAAATTTAAAGCTACATGACGTACATGTACATGGTTTTTAATTTACTGTCACTATACATTCATACACTAGCATACATTACTGTATGTGTCACTCACCTTTCTTTCTCCTTTTCTCTTTCTTTTAGTATTTCAGTATACTCTGTAGCTCTCTGTTTATCAAGTATCTATGGAGAAAGAAAAAGTGAATAAATAATGAAAATGTTCCTCATTTTCACAGTTTACAAGTACGTGTACTTTCACTTTTGGCAGCCAATCACCAAAACTTAGCAATTTGCCAAATTTAACTCCCTCTAAAATTTCCCTCTATACTGTAGTCTATTGAAGGGATTTCTTAAGTAAATTTTATTGCAATATCTATGGCCCAAACAAGTTACATGTACTTACATGTACATGTACGTACATTACATGTACATGCATGTACATTACGTACATGTAACGCTCATTCATGCATGCAGCCATGCCAGAACCTGGCAATAGTTTTATTGTGGTTAGAAAAATGCCAATCAGTGTGCCAAAAATGTATGTTGTACTACATGTACATATAAGCAGCAGAGGCAAGGCTAATAAGGTACATGTATGTCTACTTAATCCACCCTACATGCTAAGCAAAGCATCAGAAAATAAAAAAGTTTAAAATCCTTGAACATAATGTACAACATCATATTTTATTTGGGCAAAATATTCATTAATTTCATTGTGGTATGCCTACGTGTACATGCAATTAAATTATGATTACCATATGAGTCTTAATTTTCAAGGTGCATTAAATTTTGTTATTTTCGTGCCCACCTTAAATCCACAAAATTTAAACCACCTTTAATACCATTCTATTGTGTGTAGACTATGGCCAGAACACAAAAATTAGCTCATACGAATATTAACTTTTGAGCACATTTCATTGAAAACACGAAATTTTAAACACTCCAAAATTTGAACGCATACGGTATCATAAAATTCTTAAAGTAGTGAAAAATAAAATGACAATTAAGATTATACCCAAGGCACTATAAGACCATGCAGTCAAGAAAATCAGTGGACAGCATCAAAGAAAGGTCATTTTTACTAAAAACTACTAGGCAATCAGTTCATAAAAACTTATTGCAATGATAATGGTGGATACAGTAGAGTGTACCTGAGACTGAAGATCTTCATTAAGTTTCTTTTGCTGGTCATGTTTCCTTTTCTCTTCTCTAGCTGTAAGTAGATTCCCTTCTTCAATCTTCTTCAAAAGTTCTTCTCTTCTTTCAATATTTTCTAGCTGCTCTCTCTTTATCCCAGCTATCTTCTCTTCAAGCTGTTGCTGTCTTCCTTCAATAACTTCAGCCATTAGAGCTTCCCTTGCCCTCCTTTCTCTGCTCCATTCAGCTTCTCTATGTGACCATTGTCTCTCTGCTTCTTCTCTGCAGCAAAAATATACACATGACACAATTTGGCAGAAAAATATAGTTCTACATGCAGTCAGAATAAGAATCATCAATACACTCAAACAGCTCCTGTAACAGTTTAGCTAGCTTACTGCACAAAAGCTACTTGTATATGGCCCAGCCTTACATTAAAGTTATAGTGGCCCAGCCTTACAATTTAAGACCAATAATTATTATTAAAAGCATGATGCATTGCAACATGTACATTTATTTTATCTAAATTCTTTAAACTTCCATACATTTTTATATATACACAGTATGTATGAGAATAAACTCCTACAGAATGCTTTTACCTATACAAATCGTCTAGATCTTTCTCTCGCTGTCTCTCCAGTTCTAGTTGCTGTCTCATAATGTCCCTCATCTCTTGAGTATCCAGTCTTTGCTTTTCTTTCTTCTTCTCCTCATTCTCTTTCCTTTCATTCTCTTCCGCTGCTAGTCTTTCGAGTATTTCAATATCTAATCTCTAAAAATAATTTTTATGATGATAATTACAAATTGCTGCTTATAATTGTACCACAATTATAATAAACAATTCTAATGTAAATAAACAAACTACATAAAAATTGTAATTACATCATACAATTAAGTCCATGCATGCACACATAATATGTACAGCATGCTTGTTAAAATTTAGAAGCTTAAATTAGTATTACATACATTTAGTGAGTAGTATACTTATAGTACTGATTTTAGTAATTCTATAGGTACATGCATGTACATGTATTACTTTTTAAATAAAATTTCCACACACAATCAAAATTAATCTTTAAATTCAAATATGCCTGGACTACATATGCTACACTCACCAAACTTTCCTGCACTTGCTGTGATTTTCTTCTTAATTGAGCTTTCACTTGATGCAACAATCTTCTCCTGTTGTAAACAAAATATTACTGTACATATACCCACATCCATAATAATTTTTAAAATTAATATGCAAGTAAAAGCACCTCACCCAATATCTTGCTGTCTCTGTTTCTTTTCAAGCTCCCTCCTTTCATCTTCCTATTATTAATAGATACAGTAAAGGGAATTAAATCACCAGAAATGTTTCAAAGAGTGGTCCATTTGAACTGGATTTTATATCATAATCGCAAAGCTATGCCCCCCTCAAGCACACTGTTGCATTAAGGTGGATTTACACTGCACAATTAACGCAAGGTAAGGCTATACGTTAAGAGAGGAAGTACTGTATAAACCAATGGCCACCGTTTACATAATGTAAAAGTTGAAATTATCTCTACTCTTACATTATGGAAACATTGGCCATTGGTTTATACAGCACTTCTTGTCATAACGTATAGCTTTACATTAAGGCCCTTAAGCCTGGTTTACACTTGCCACAAAACGCAACGCAAATGAACGCAAAATTAAAATTTGACCAATTTTGCGTCAACTCCAAAGCGTTTTTGTGTCAAAAGGTCAAATCGCCCACACACTTTTTGACTGTTTCGTCGAATGTAAACCTAGCTTTATACACCAGGCAATACCATTGCAGGCAATCTGTGGTTACTTTGATCTTCAGGCAACACTGCTGCCTAGAATAGAAACCTGTTAGGCTGAAACAAATAGTGAGATATTCGAATATTCGTTCGTTATAGCAATATTCGAATAGTTTTTTTGCTATTCGAACTATTCGCATAATTAAATAATTAATGGCCACGCCCACTGTGTGTCACCTGCACAGGCTGCTTTCTTAGTCTGCTTACTTACCAACTTGCTAAATACTGATGCTGTGGCCAGGGAAAGTGGTTCTCAATCTCTAAAAAGCCCTGCTTGGCATCATTTTGAAAAGTTTAACACCAAAAAGGTAGTTTATAATCATTCAGCAAAAACAGTTCAATTATTCGAATATTCGTTTGTTTAGCATGCCAATTATTCGAATAGTGAAAAATACTATTCGTTTCAGCCCTACTGTTCTATTCTAGGCAACACAATGCTTACAACATCAAAGTAATCACAGATTGCAAGCAATAGAATTGCCTGGTGTATAGTAGCCTTTACGTTAATTGTGCAGTGTAAATCCACCTCTCTGCAGTCAGTGTGACACACTCTCCATCACTACTGCTCTACAATGTACAATTGTACATGTACATGTAGCTCTTACTGCATCTTCCAATGCAATCTTCTCTTTAATAAGTTCATATTCTTTCTTCTCTAGTTCAGCTGCTTCCTCTTCTCTCTCTTTCACTTCCAGCAACTGATCCTCAAGAGCTTTCTTGAGCTCTTCTTCCTTCCTACACAAAAATTAAAAAGACAATATTAGAGAAAGTCATACTTGTATAGCAACAACCATTATCTAATGAAGAAACATACAACTAAAACTGAACATTAAGTAGTTAAAACACGCACAACTATTGCATAATATACAAGTAGGAGGTACATGTACATGTACGTAGAATATTGAAATCTTGTTTTGTTTATTTATCTTGTGAATGTACATGTAGTAAATAAACAAACGATTAGGTCACGTACATGTACATGTATGCATGTAATCAAAAGCTTGTTGAGACTACACCACTTGTGCCTATCTCTGAGTGTCCTTAAAAGAGGTGTCCTCATTTGGGAGGTACGTGCATATGTACTTTTTGCATGTATACATGTACATGTACATGTACATCTACACGTAGGTAGTTTGTATTCATTGAGAGAAATTACAAATATGTCATTATAGAAGTATGAAGGTTTCTGTGAAGATTTCAGTCTAACGCTACTAACCTACTATATAGCTTATAATATGTATCAATAAATGTAATAAAATTTGAGGTGATTTCGGAGCATGCAACAAATTTTAGTAATTAACATATTAAATGAAATTCAGGGGCCAACATTAAATCAAGTTCAAGGGGCAGGTTAATAAAAAATATAAAGAAAAGGCTCTACCACATCCACTAAAGAAACTGGCCATACATGTACATGTGTACATCTATTTCATCAAGGCTCCAAAGGGTACATATAATTTCATAATATTTTAGATACAGTAGGTATGGGGGAAATGATATCAATGATATCATGTCATTGTCATTTTTGGGCTTTTAGAAATACAAAAATGGGTTTCTAAATAAATTTAACATGTCAAGTTCAGTTAAAGCCAAGGGAGTAAAATAGTCCCTCTGCTTCCCTCTAAAAGAAACATTGGGTATAGTCTTGTCCTTTTAAAAGAGGCTACACCAAATACCTTTTTTGTTGCTTTTTCTTTTCTTCCTCTTCAATCAGCATTTTCTTTCTTCTCTCCTCCAGCTCCCTCTCATATCTAAATTTAAAAAAAATTAATTCAATCCAATATCTCCAAAAACCTTATTTTTTCTTCTCGCTCCTTTGCCTCAAGCTAAAACAAAAAAAACCATTAATTTTCGGTAAACCTCCTACATGTACATGTAGCTCACTTCTTTTTTCTTCGATATTTGAGTCTCCCAGCTCTCTTGGGTCTGCCTCTGTTTACACCTTGACTCAACTTCACGTAACTGGTGGCAGTTAACTCTAAAGTGCTCCTTTAGTTTGGCATCTGCTATCTACAATGAATGCATATTGCTTTGTCAATTGAACACTACTACATGTACATCATGTTACCTCCTTTCTTTTTCGTTCTCTTTCAGATCTCAATGAGTCAGCTCTGCATGTGTATGAATATAAAAACAAGAGGAACAACACAAACAATACTACGCTACCTACATGTACATGTAAACAAAAATTTACACAATATATTCGTTGAGTTGTACTCTTCTTCCCCTCTCTCTTCCTCTACTCTCCCTCTATCACACAATCTTTCCTCTCACTTTTAGCAGAAAAACATGCACATACCTTTCTTTCATTATTTTCCTTTGATCAGGAGTTAATGCTTTGAGTTCTTCCTAAAATTAAAGAATCACAAAAACACCATATTAATAAAACAAAATTTAAAACATGCATGAGAAATATTCATAAAAACAACATTAATTACTTCATATTCAATTGTCTCTTTGTTCAGTAGTTCCCTTAGCTTCCCTCGTCTGTTCTCTAGTTTCCTTTCATTCTGTTCCTTTATTATCTTATCATTGTATTGACCTAAACTGTAGAGAGTACTCTTATAATTATACAAGTATTACTGAGTCATAAAGTCATGCCTTGCATCAGCATGATTTGACAACTACAGCTGCAAACACGAAATTGCAATTTAAAATATGCATCTAAAAGGATCGACATCGTGTCACCTTGTCATACATGTACATGTGTATTGTTGTGATCATTCACAACAAATACACCTCCCTCTACATATTCCGCTATAAGTAATCGTAGAAGTGGTTTAGTTACACACATCAATGGTATACAATGTACATACAGATTGTGAAACATTTGCTTCCTTCACTCCCTCACTAGCTTGATACAGGTGTACTTATAATGTAATACATTAATTTTACAGGTAATTGTTTACAGTCAGGTGGTGTTTGCACAATCAATGTCATGCAATGTGTGATTCAATTTCATGTTTTAACATACAATAACATTACCGTAAATGATTATAAAAAAACAGAGTGCGAATTTAAAGAGCTGTAAAGTTTTGCAAATTGGCACAATTATTTCATGCACAATATCAATGCAAGGTGTCGATTCTATACAAAATGGAGGCAGTGTCAAACAACAAGACTTAATTATTATCGACGGTACATACATACTAGCCTCTCAGTAGTACCTTCCTCTGTAGCAGGAGTCTGAGGTCCACACCCTCAGTTTCTGGTTCCTCGCCTCATTGCTTTTAAAGTACTGGTGATTCTCCTTCCATCTCTCCTGGTTCTCATCAGCAATCATTCTCCTGTGAGCCAGCATACTGACTCTTGCTGTACCAGGTCTGCTTTGAGGCCTGCCATCGAGCCTGCCATAGTATGATTTCAAAGTAGGCAGCGCCATAGATATAATATTTTTTAAAATTTTCAAGATTTGCTTAAAAATAATTGTGCCCGCGCCCTAAATTGAAATCACGTGACGCGACCATAACTAACGCCCCACCCACCCACAAACTATCGATCAAGTAATGACGTCAAGTATCAAAACCACGCCTAAGTTGCGTAACAAAATGGCGGGAGTCAGTCTTTGAATTTTACGCCGAATTTTACCCTTAATTTTACTTCAAAATTTCCTCTTTATTCCTCTCTTAAAGACTTATACATTTAATTATGGCAGCACAGCACGAATTATGCAAGACCCTAAAGACGTACGGTCCTAAGCCTAAATCCTTTAAACTGGAGGATGGTGAGGAGTACATGCTTGGATCAGAAGTTGGTAATTACCTTCGTCTCTTTCGTGGTGACCTCTACAAGAAGTATCCTTCGCTCTATCGTAGAAAAATGACAGCTGAGGAAAGACGTGTAGCAAGCGAACAGATCGGCTACTCACATTGTAATATCAGCAGTAATGTCATGATGGTAAAGGTCTCCGAAGTTGAGGAACTCCTTTCGGGCTCTGAAGCTAAGTATCGGACAGCAGCAGGTTTTGAAGGGACGTATATGCCATCAATTGAGCGGAGTCTCTCACAGCCTTCGTCTTTTTCTGCTCAAGGTTCCGTGAGTAGTCGTAACTCAAAGAAGACTTGGATATCGTCAATTCCTAATTATTCCTTTCATCTTGATCCGGTTCCTAGTGCAACTTCTACTGCTCATCATAAACTCGTTGAGAGGAAACCTAAGAGTTCTCCAACTTTGTAAGTCACCCACATCAACCAACCACTCAATAATTGCATAAATGAATTTAATATCACTACGCATACATTTATTTAATGTTTTCAACTAAAACAATGCACCTGCCATAGTACATGTGTTGTTTATGATGTTATTGTAATACATGTACCTTATAGCGGTTTTTTTCGAGGATAACAAATTTTATGGATTATTTAAGATTTACGAAATTAAATTCCTTGAAAATCAATTTAATATGGTATAGACCACTGGAAGTGAAAATTGTTTGTGTAGGAAGATTAGAGATTTTTACGGCTTTAAGGTGTGGTTTAGGATGAAATAAATCCCGGCCACCATTTTGGTTGGCAACTTTCAATGGAGAACAAACAGGCAGACATAAAAACAAACCTGTATTAAGAATTCTGGAGCAAATTTGACCAAATCCTTTTCAGGAGAAGCTTAAAGGCAGCTGTTCTTATAACAAGCACTTTTTAGCTATTGATAGAGCTACAGCAGGTAAGTGTGCATTTTCTTTGTGCCTCCAATTATGAGGTGTGAGTGGATACCATATGCAAAATTAATGAAATTCATATCTTTTCTAATTCTCACTTCAGTGGTCTACCGTATAGCAGGTAATTTTCAGTGGTTGAAAATTTCGACTGAAACCAGAAATGACTTTACATGTAGAATAAAAAATCGTTGGTTTTATTTTTGACTAGACAAAAACAATTGATCTCATGTCTTCATTAGCATCTGTAGGACTGATAGCATTGGAAAGAGGTCCCCTAGTCCTGTTGGGTCTGGAAGAGATTCTTTAGAAGGTGAACACCGTTTTCAAGGCCATCCATGCTTGTTATCATGTTATTAATAATTTATTATGGTCACGCCTATCTTTAGAATTAATTTTTATCAGAATTAATTTTCGTTTAGAATTAATAGCAGCACTAGTCAAAAATTACCCGCTATACGGTATAAGATGGCAGAAAACTGGAATTTTATGAAAATTATTTTCACGAACCTCTGGATACAGGTAATTCGCAAAAATTATGATCCTCAAAAGCAGACATAGGGTCAAGCACTTGGTGTATACCTTTTCAATATAATTTATCTGCTTTGTACTTGTATTTAATTACTTTTACAAATTACAAAAGTGCTTCTAAGCACAGTAAAAATTGCATGTGAATAGTGTACATGCACATTAGTCATTAGTGGTGCACAGTCCAGTAAATGTTTAGTAGCACTCTGTGTGATTGTGTGTTAGCGTAATGGCATCACCATTAGTGGTATTATCACCAGTCACTCCAGAGCTCCCTGCTGTTTTCATTCATTGTGACCGATTCAGAGTTAATGTGTATTTGATGCGGTAGTCAAAGTGCATGTAGCCATGTACATGTACAATGAACAACTAAATTTTTTTACACTAAGTAAATATAATGTATCTAATACTTATTAATGTACTTAAGCACTCTGGAGAATGCCTGTTCTTGTACTTAATCACTTACTGTATGTTGAAGCTAGGGATTGTGTTTGTGCTGGTACTCCTAACACATTTAAATGCTTGTGTTTGTGTTTAAGTACCATTCCTAGTGCTTGACCCCATGTCTGCTCAAAAAAACTGCTATATGGTCGGGATGTACATGTATTTGCGGCTGCAATTATTTGCAGTCATAAAAATTCAATTAAAAACCATGGAAACCGAGGTGTTATTTTAATTGAAAATGGCGTGATATTGAAGGAAAGCACTTTGCTGCAGTGTTCTTGAGCTGTTGTTCTTCTTGTGTTACTAAGCCTTGGTCTCTTTGTAGCTGCTTCTACCAGTTCTTTTCAGAACTACTGTCTCGCCGCATGTTGGTACTCTCCACCCATTCTAGTTAGTGTTTATTAATTTGGGTGTGGTTTATTATCACCAGCACGCGGACCAGCAACAGTTTGCAGCAAAGAGGCTGAAAGAGCTCTGAGTCATTTGTCATTTGGCTGTTTACAGGTATTTCTTGGCACTAGTACAATAAATTATTGTATATCCTGAAATATTGGCAACAGTTATGTTTACCAAAATTTAGCATCTGGAGGATTTTATATCGATAATTTAGCAGCCACTTGTCACGTCATCAAACATCCTTGTGTGATGGTAGATTTTATATTGGCAGCATCTCCAATTTGATGAATTCACCAATATTAATTCTTTGCCAAAATTTTTAGCTCTACGGTATATATACATGTACATGTACTCAAACCTGTCTATTCCGGACACCTTGGGACCTAATAAAACTGTCCTGATTACAGAGGTGTCCTTATTTTAGAGTGTCCACAATAGCAGGTTTGACTGTACATGTACATGTACATGCATGTGTATGAGCATGCATTATTAATTCATTAGCTTTTACGTAAATACTGAAAAATTTTGTGTAATGTAATTATGACCATGCAATAACCTTGCTAAGTGCATGACTACACATGTACGTGTACATGTACAATGTATGTGTGATACGTACTGTTCATGCCACCTCTGCACATACTGAAGTATAATGTTTATTATTATTATTATTATTATCCTGTAGTTATGATGACAAAAACCCAGCTGCACTCTATGAGGCTGCTGCTATACAAGAAGTACTAGTCCCCATTAGACTTGATATTGATATTGAGGGACAAAAATTACGTGATACCTTTACTTGGAATAAGAGTGGTGAGTTGTTGCTAGATATTTAAATTGTATGTGTATTTTAAAAATCTATTTTAAACTAATGATACAACCCATACAGAAAAACCAAGGTTGTAGCATGATTGTGGCAACCTTGTAACAAGTTGGTTGTCACTAGGTTGCCACTACCTATAGTCACAACCTTGTAAAAACCTTGGATTTGGCATGTTTTTTGGCTTGTAATAACCTTGTCACAACCTTCTCACAATGTACTATGAATTTAATAGAATAACCATAATCTGAAAGACTATCAACACATAAGTATTATTGAATTCCCAATCCCATATAGTTTCAAATGAATAGATACTTTTAATGTACATAATAGTTATAGCACAGTAAAGAGTGCTGTATTGGCTGTCGAAACTCCACCTCGAGTGCCATTATCAGCCATACAGCACTCTTTACTGTGCTATAATTAATTTATGGGATATAGTGGGCACATCAAAGGCGTCCGCCAAATACACTCCTAGAGAAGTTTTCTCGAGTCTTCAAGGTTGAGACAAAGCCAGCACAAACATTTAAAAGCTCGCAAGACAATTTTCTTTGCCGCATAACACGGACTTGGCTGCTGCCTGACGATCAATATAAGAACATCTCTGGGCACTAAAAGACAGCAAAATGCCGACAATGGTCGTAAAGGAGTGTTGTGAGTCTGTTCCGCAATAGGTAGAGCAGTTTCATTTCTTCTCTGGTCACAAAGAACTTCTCACCCAGTACTAAGCCAACCAACTGACACTAACTTCCGGTGCTGTACTAGTGCTGTATGCAATATAACGGAACAGGCAGTGCCTTTGATGCGCCCACGTAGTATACTATAAATGTAGCTAATGTATAAAGATGCTGATGTACATGTATATTAATGTGATCATTATTGACTTGTATAAGTGCTGGTCAATGGTCCCTAGGCCTATGGTAGCAATAGCTTCATATCATCGTGGGGCGCACTTAATGAAACCTCAGTTTCCTGTCAACCTTCGGGCAACCTTGTCACAAGGTTGTTATGTTTCTTACATGTTAGTCACAACTTTATCACTTTTTGTTACTAGGCTGCCACAACTTTGCAAGGTTGTGACCCAGTTGTAACAACCTTGGAATTTCTATGTGTAAATAGGTTTTTACATTATTACATTTTACATTACATTGATGTGTTTAAAAGCCTTTTTTTCTTAAAAATGGCTACAATATTTTACTGGCACATACAATGTACATATGTATTGTTTGATGCCCATTTGCTATGCAGAAAGTTGGAGGTATTTTCCACAAATTTGCTTCAAAAACCTTTAAATTTCGACTGAACTTTTGTCTAATTGTCAGGGAAAGTTGTGTGCCTACATGTGCATCTACATGTAAATATACTGCCGTATATTTTACTCTCTGACAATTAGAGCAGTAAAAAAATAATGATTATGATGAATTTTTTTCAATTTTGGATAAAATAACAAAAATTACCTGACAAAATTTGACGCTATATTGTACGGTAGTAATGGCTACTATAGATATTTCTGATGATAAACTGATATGTGTATAGTTTTAATTTAGACTTTTTACATGTACTGTAGTTATTGGTGCTGAATCGGTTACTTCATTTGTATTTAAGTTAAATAAAATGATTTTTGTGAGATATTACATGTACATATCGTTAGCTTTGGCTTTTAAGGCCTTTTCACACTGGCACAGTTTTCAAAGCGCTTTGATGCGCTTTGTTGATACAGCTGAAATAATGCGCATTGATCGTGTTCACAATAGCAGCTGAATTATGTATCATTTTGTGTTCTTGTTGCCATTGGTTTACATTGATCGAAGCGCATCGCTTCACATCAATCCACCTCTGGAGGTGAAGTGAGATTGATGCGCATTAATTGAAAACCACTCTAGTGTGAACACGATTAATGCGCATCAATGTGCATTACTTGTGCCAGTGTGAAAAGGCCTTTAAACTGAACTTGCTTACTCTGCAATTATTATTATTATTTGCATTTTTTTTCATAACTAACCATGCAGCTTCATTTCTTTCTATCCAGATCCACTGCTGTCTGTGGAGAACTTTGCTCAAGTTTTGTGTGAGGATCTAGAGCTGCCAACAAGCTCATTTGCTCCAGCAATCATTCAGTCCATCAAACAACAGATTGATAACTTCACCACTGATGTAATACCACAAGATGAAGAAGATAGAAGAGTCATCATTAAAGTTAGCTCTCTCTTACTACCTGGAACTTGAGCTGTTTTGCTTTTGCTGCTTAATAAACACATAGCTAGAATTGCTGTTATTGCACAGGTGTTTACTATGGAGCAATCAGCATTACTTAATTAAAATTCTGACATACCAACAGTGATTATAATGCTATGGTGTACATAAACAAACAACACTATGAAGGCTCTCTCTTTTCTTTCCCCTTTCCTCTCCCTTCCTCTTTCTTTCCTTCAGCTCAATATACAAGTAGGTAATATATCACTAGTAGATCAATTTGAATGGGATTTATCCAATCCACTTAATGTACCTGAGGAATTTGCAAGGAAACTATGCCAAGACTTGGGACTCGGAGGAGATTTTGCTACTGCTATTGCTTACAGCATACGAGGGCAACTAAGCTGGCATGCAAAGACATATGCATTTAAGTAAGGACTTTAACTACCACAAGTAATATAGGCTTTCAATTTTATGATGCATCCACATCAATTTGAACCTTATGTGTACAATCACTAAACACTTAATTCTCCCTTTCTTCTATTCCTCCTCCTCCTCTCTCTCTCTCTCAGTGAGTCTCCTCTTCCTCCCATTAAGTTTCCAGTACGCACTCTCTCTGATGCAGAGACATGGGGTCCATCAATCCAAATACTTACTGATGCAGAGATGGAAAAGAAAATGAGAGACCAAGACAGGAACACTAGAAGAATGAGGAGACAGGCTGGACCCAGTTGGTGACATTCAAACATACTCACTCTCTTCCTCTCTCTCTTTTACTCATTCATTTGATAAATCAATTTCCATTATTAACCGATGAAGCGTATTTACAGTGATTGTAGGTGAAGCTGGTTGGTAGTTTTTTGGTTTAAAGTTGATTGCTTATCATTGCTAGTCATCTTTGCTATCATCTTCAGGAACACACTAAACAAAAAGAGAGAAAGAGCACACATTTGATTTAATACACTGAGCAATCAAGAGTACTTGTAATGAGGCTATGATGTTTATTTTTACAAAAGTAGCTCAAATTTAGAAGACTACTTAATTTTGCAAATATTTACAATTTTTGAAACTTTACTTTTTTACCCAGCTAAAGTTTAACTCCATTTTACAGTACTTGTATAATCATTCAGCCCAATCACTTACCAGGTATTCTACAAAGCAAAGTTGTTTATCCTCAGTGACTATCATGAACTGCAATGAGAGGAAACCTCTTGTGTCCATCCTTAATGCTATCTTTGATGATGGACTAAGTGCCTTAGCTGAAGGCTTTCAGTAGTAATGCTAATGCAAGCTTGTCTCTGAAGTGAGAGGGAAGGAGAGAGAGACTAGGGAAATAGGAAGGAGAGATGTGAATAAGATAAAAACCAAAAAATAGGAAAGAGAAAGAGGAGCATGTCCCAAATAACGTACTTGTTCTTTTGAGTTGTTGTGCACTCAAATACAGTACTTCAACCATATCAGGCTCCTTAGGATAATCAAACAAAAAAAAATTAAGTTGAAAATAATTAAACTAATACAGTAGCAGTCATTCCTACCTGAGTGGTCCTTGTTGACAGTCTAAAATTTGGTTCTTCCTCTGATATGTAAATCTCAATAAATTCACTACTCAAATCCAACTCATTGAAAGTCTCCCTCATGCACTCTGACTGAATATTGAATGATAGTTACAAATAATGATGATGAATTATTATTTACTTTAATGATCACTTTATTGCAAACGTTTGCTGATACAAAATCAAAGTCAAGCATTTCATCAGCTTTTGATGTTTCAATCAGTGACCACTTCATTCTGGGAGAGAGAAATGATTGAATAGTGCAATTATATATGAACAGCTTCAGATGGTATATACATTTAGTTACCAATGGTGAATTCAAGTACCGTCTATCTGGAAACTTTTACTGTGATTCAAATTTTACTGGATTAGAATTTCACAAAAATTAGATTACCCATATAATTACATGCCACGTTCAATAATACATGACACAGTCTTATTTAGTAAAAATTAAGTCACAGCACAATTTTAAACCGCAAAAATTTCCTACCACACTAATTTCCTGATCTACGGTATTTTTAATTTTAAAAGTATTTTTGCAACCAAAAGTGCAAATTTGCTGTTATTTTCAGTTTCAAAAAATACTGTAAACCCAGCTCAACCTGCTATTGTATACTCATTTATTAACAGTTATCATTATCACCATTATTATAATTATCATTAATAATTTCAATGCATCACATTATGTACTTCACTTCAAAATTATTAAACTTCACACACTATATGTATCCATCATAGTACAGTCTCAAATACGTATGTATTTGCTTCATTACCAAAAATACATAAACATTCCTCATTAATGAGAAAATGATATTTAAAATTATGTCACATGCACACCAGGCCCTGTTTTATGTTTACACAGAATTGAATAAAAGCATTATGGAACAATAATGGAGCTTCAGACTCAATTCTTTAACATTGCGTTACTCAGCCTAAATATTAGTGTAGAGTCCTAATTATATATTGTAGTGACAGGCTTGAAAGAGTTATAAACTTTACAAAACAGTTTGCTTGTACAAACTTTGGTTGCTCCATTTTTGATAATTAATGTCTCATGTTCAGCAATGTAAATGTACTATTGTAGCTAGAGATCAGTACTAGCATCTAGAAAGAGAAAGGAAAGATGGTTGAAGAACAAGAAGAGTAGTACATTCATGATCAAAATTACTGGTGCTCAGCATGAGCTGACAGGCTTTCAGAGCAACTTTAAAAATCAGTAAAAATTAAATTGATTGGAATCAGCTAGAACATGTATAGCTCCTGATCAGACAAATCATGAAATGGAGTATTCTCCCCAAGCCATTTCCGAGAAAATACCTGTACTAGAGTACATGTACAACAATGCAGATTTTGGATCAACTTTATAAATTCATAAATTTTTAATCAAAATCAGCTCAAAATTTCTGCATATAACACTAAAACATGTACATGTACATTGTGTATCAGAAAACATTTTAAATCGAGAATTCTTTTGTAGTCATTTTAGACAAAATTTGCCCAGAAACCCTATACTATTGATTGGAATCATGGAATCAACGAAAATGATATGTATCAGAACAAATCATAAAAATTGAGATTTCTCCCCTAGCAATATTTGACAAAACAAATTTTCTATGCAACACAAGTACATGCAAATGTATCAGGAAAAATCATTAATTTTCTTCTGGCCATTTTTGATGAAGTTTGGCCAAAAATCCTGTACTGGGCCTTTGGCCCAATTTAGGAGCAACTTTAAAATTTCATAAAAATTAACATAAGTTACATGTCAGGTCAAACTTTCTATGTAACATCAGGAAAACATTAAAAATGGGGAAGAGTAATGTTTTAAGTGAACTGCCAACCTCGGCTATTAAATGATGAATATAGGATACTCTTTTCCTTCATCAGTGCTAAACTCTCTAGCACCATGAAGTGTGTGTGGTGGTTGATAATGCATTTGTTAGTCAATTTGGGTTGTACTATTAAGATGAGCTATAGCCACAGTAAATAGACTAAAATATAAAGTGGTACCACATATTGAGTCTTTCCTGAGCCAAAGGCTAAACCGAAGGTGGAAAAATTACTAACATTTTATGTTTTATAATTCTTCCTTGATGATCAGCATCCCCAGGCTCTTTGTCTACATGATCAGCATCTTCTTGCATTGCTGAAGTAGCTACACCATGCAACATTTGAATTAATTACATAATGTTTTTATACCATAATGTCCTCCTTGGAGCTCAGTCTGTTGAGTCTGGACCTTGGTCTGGTACAATATTTGTTTATCTGTTTTTATTTTTAGTTTTATTTTGATTGTTGTTTATCATCTTCACCTGCAGTTATCACATAATGAAATGTTATGATGCTCTAATTAAGAAGTTACTCAAGAAACAAGTTGAAGATGATTATCCTCTTTTACATGTCCCTGAATCACATCTAACTGTTGATCAACAAAGAAGAGCTATGGTACCAAGTTATGCTGTGCTAGTAGTGAATCAGTTGTTGATCAAAACCTTTAGTAGTTTTTGCTGCCACATACTTTTATTTATCTATTATCAATTGTTATTATTTATTTAATTTAGTGGTTTTACATTAGTCTCACTTAGTCCGACCATTCCCCAGCCTATACAGTCACATAGTCTAGGGAATGGTCTGGCTGTGCAAGACTACTTTGCATGTTATCACTATAAAATCTGATGCCATGAACATAAATGCTCACTATGGTAGAGGCAGCCATAAGGTTTCTGTCTATATCTTAATTTAAGAATACTAACATTGACTTCCTGGATAATTGAACTACCTTTCATGATGAGTAGCTCATGCATTAGCACTCATTAAAATATTGACATGAAATAATGAGTCAAGCCTGGGAAAAGAGTATATCCCAAGAAAAGCTTTGTTGAACAATAACATTCACTGGTAAATTTGAAATCACGAGCACTACTCCAGTGGGTGACATCATGTATAATCATAAAAAATGCCTCCCACAAGTCCATAGGCATAGCTTATTATATATTAGTGAATGGATTAGTTGGTCAGTACAAACAGTAGCTATGTCTCTCCTGTTAGTGGTTGTTCTCTTATGCTTCAATAGCTCCTGCAGTGTCTCCTCTGGTCAGTATTATGTGTCTGATGACTGCAGTTCAGTTACTCATAAACCTTGTAATCCTTTATCAGTGTATGCTGGGGATATGTCTCAATACAATAACAGCATCTTCTACTTCAATGGAACCAGTGACATTAATGATGATGTCAACATGGCTGCAGTAAGGAATGTTAATCTACATGGACTGGATCAGGCTTGTCTTATTGGTAACAGGAGTAGTGAAAGGTCTATTCTCATCTATAACAGCAATCATGTCATTATTTTCAATGTGTCAGTTTATAATATTGGAGTCATGGCTAGATCATCCAACAATATTACAATAACTAAATCTTTATTTCATGCAACAAAATCTGTCAAGGTATTGTTTCCTATAAAATTGAACAATGCTTTTGATATTAATGTATCTTTCTCAGTTTTCTATTATTATGATGTACATATTACATATGAACCTCTTCCAGCATGTAGCACTGAACTACCTCATTACTCACTAATAGTGACTAATGTTACATTATTTAATTACAGTCACTTAAGCGTAATTATTCATCATGGTACCTCATACAATCTATCAGCCATTTTTCATAACTATTTTAATATATTTTATAGTTTCTCTGTATTCGATTTGGATGATGGCCTTTGTTTGTTTTTTATTAAGAATGCATCATTTCAATCAGTACTTGATTCTGCCTTCCCCTTTCATATTATTCTTAGTGAAAACCTGAAATCAGTTGACTGCAAGTTTCCTGGGATCCAATTAGTTTCTACTTTTGTAATTGAGGACAGTCAATTTCATGATAATTGGTATGGACCTGTAATATTGAAAGATACATTCTTACCTAGAACACTTAGCAATCACTTTATTATTATTATTTTAAGTCGTGTTTGATAGCTAACAACACAGTTAGAGGCTTATTCATTGTTGAAAAATTCTTAGCATTGGTACAAATCAATATAACAGATACTGAACTTATTGGAAATGAAGCAAATGTGATAACAAACAGTAATGCTATTAGTTTCAGTAATGTTACTGTTGCTAACACTCGCTCAACAGGATTGTTACTTAGCTCTACATTAGTAACTATTGAAAATAAAGTAACATTTAGAAACAATACTGGAGTAGTTCAAGGAGGATTAGCAATAAATGGCTCATCACAACTGACATCATCATCATCAGCTAACTTGGAGTTTATTGATAACCATGCTTCTTATAAAGGTGGAGGGTTCTATGTTGAATGGTTATCAGGTAGTGGCATAATATTAGAGGCACCAAATATACGTCTTACATTAATAAATAATAGTGCTGGAATATTTGGTGATGATATATATAGATATACTACTCATGGAAGCAATCATTTCTACTTGACAAACCCAATCATTAACTCAACAGGTGATGTACGGAAAATTCAGTTCTGCAATTTTACTAATTTAAAAAATGCAAGTGACAAACAGATTTATCCAGGTCAGGCACTAAAGTTTCATATAGTTTTGCTTGGTTATGATTACTTTGGATCACTCAATGTCACTGATGGTACATTAGAAATACGTGATGGACTCACTCCAGACAGTGCTCATACAGTCGATCATGTATATGCTAGACCTAAGCCTAATACTATTTGTTCACTGATTGAATACAAACCAAACCATCATCCCAGTCATGTAAAACATGCCATGGTATTTTGTACTGACTCATTTGATCACATTTATTGGAATTATATTGTTAATGAATGTCCCATTGGTTTTAGTGTAGATACCCCACAAGGTAGATTTATCTGTGCTTGCAGTCAAAGTGTTTCAAGAGAGAATGTGACATGTAATATAACTAGTCTAAACATCACACACAATGGTCTACTGTGGATTGGAACATATGATACCAGTACATCTTTCAATGCTAATGCAACCAATCCTAATGCATGCATTATCAATGAGGACTGTCTCCTCTGTTGTTCTCCTAATCCTGTTACCTTCAAGTTGAATAATACTGATACTCAATGTGTGCATAATAGAGGACAGAGAATGTGTGGCTCATGTACAGAGGTATACAGTCTACTAATGGGATCAAACGAGTGTGGACAGTGTCATGATAATTACATGGTAGTAGCTTGGATTGCTCTGTTTGCAGTGATGGGTGTACTACTTGTGGTTCTACTGATTGCTCTCAATTTAACAGTATCAGTGGGTACACTCAATGGTCTATTGTTTTATGCTAACATTGTCAAGTTATACGAGCCAGTCTTTTCAAGGAAAGGAGTATTACCAGTCTTGAGTCAAGTCATATCATGGATTAACTTAGACTTTGAGTTTGAGATATGTTTTTACAATGGTATGGACAGTTATGCTAAACAATGGCTCCAGTTTGCTTTCCCTCTCTACCTGTGGATCATTATCTTTATCATCATACAATTGTGAAACTGTCCATTACCATTACCTTTAGAACCAATCCTTCTTACTGGAGTACTATCATTGCCAAATACCTGTGTAGGAGATATGGTAAGATATCAAGACTGATGGGGTCCCATGCTGTTCCTGTTCTATCTACACTCTTCCTTCTCTCATATACTAAACTAGTACGTACTATTGTTATTGTACTACACAAGCGTGAGGTAGCTCTTCACTGTACAGATGAGTCAGTAAGATCAGTTAGTTTATGGTATGAGGATCCTAATGTTGAATATGCTAAAGGGAAGCATGCTGGACTATTTGGATTTGCCCTATTGGCGTCTGTTGTTTTTGTCATACCATACACACTGTTCCTTCTACTTAATCATTTTTACAAGAAGTATCTTTCAAATTTTAAAATTTTTAGAAAATTTTGGAGTCGTTTTAAGCCTATTATTGATGCTTATAGTGGTCCAATGAAAGATGAGTATCGATTCTGGCCTGGTCTACTGCTAGTGGCTAGGATACCAATATTATTATCAGCTACTTTAGTTGACAGTTTTATTCAGTCACAGCACTTCCTATTGTCAATGCTATTGGTAGTGTTAGCTATTGTGCTATCATAGGGTTATTGTTTTGGTGGAGTTTACATAAAAAGAATGAACAATATTATTGAAGTTTGGTTCTTATTAAACTTGTGCATCATGGCTTCTTTATCTGTAGCCTTAAATGATGAGAGTGGAGTATTGATCTGGTACAATATTTGTTTATCTGTTTTTATTTTTAGTTTTATTTTGATTGTTATTTATCATCTTCACCTGCAGTTATCACATATGAAATGTTATGATGCTCTAATTAAGAAGTTATTCAAGAAACAGAATGAAGATGATGATTGTAAGAGATCCACCTGTGCCCCCCCTGGCTTACGCCAACTACAAGAATATTTTTAAGGTCATAAAACCAACGAACCCACCAGAAATGGTCGGGCACTTTTGTATCATTTTCAAAATCATGTGACACAAACAAGTTAAAACTAGTTATACATATGACACACACGTGACAACCACATGACATAGAGAGTTCCTAGTTAGATGGCAACCTGGGCAAGCCTGAGCAAGCCCAAGCTGTCATCCCCACATAAACCACAGTTGCACAAATTAGTCTAAGGTCAAACCACAATACATATACACCACTAATAATCAATAATACACATACAACTAATAATTCAAAATGATAATGATACACATATACAACCAATAAGTAGTAACACATACCTATATAATAAAGAATAATAACCAATAGTTTTTAATCCATCACAATGATCCTCTTTTAGATGTACATGTAACTGAATCACATCTAACCGTTGATCAACAAAGAAGAGCCATGGTACCAAGTTCTACTGATTATGTCAGACGAGAATCAGTTGTTGATTTATTTTAATATTTAGTAATTTCTTGCTGTCCACTTTTAATTACTCATGTTATTATTATTTCTAGTCTTAGAAACTATGATGTATTCCTCAGTATTATACATAAAAATTTTTGAACACACCGTTTTTAGCGCTCATATAGTGCACTAAAATGCCATTTGTGTATTTTAAAACATCAAATTCTTACAATTTTAACAATGATTAATACTAGAACGAAAAAACTTTTTAGTTAATTAGTGTAGGGTTGAGCTTCTGTTGCATTTGAATAAAATAAATTCTGTAGGGTTGCTGGTTTGAAAGTATAAAGTGAATTTAAACAAACGCCTGTAGGGTTGTATCACCATTAAAACACCAACATGTCAACCCTACACTGCAGGTATGAATGGCCTTTGCAGCACTGTTGAGTATTGCTATGATATCATTGGACATTTATACCTGCAGTGTAGGGTTGACATGTTGGTGTTTTAATCATAGTGGTGATGATACAACCCTAAACATTACCTGTAAATAATTATTAACAAGTAATAACATATTACCTGTTGATAGAATTAAGAATGTGAGAAGAGCTTGCCTCTAGAAGTTAGCTTTGGTTCTTAGTTACAGGCTGACAGCACTATCTCTCGTCTCTTTTATTGGTTGATGATTGGTTATTTAGCTTGTTAGGTGATATTTGCTCTGTTCAGACCCCGACCGTGAGGTCGGGGTCTGAATATGCATGCAGGTAATGGTCTCACAGACTAGAGAGTAAATGTTCTTTTCTCTCTCATAGACCAAGAGCTAGATTAAAATTATTTTAATTTTCTTTCAATAAAGTCAAGCCAAGCCACGTCGACAGGCTCATGCTTGCCCCCACAATGTTTACATTCACCTAGTTTCATTATATATTTATTACTCTGCATCTCATACAGTCTTGATACTGCTCCTCTCTCTCTCTGAGTGCGTCTCCTCTTTCTGCCATAAAGTTTCCAGTATGTACTCTCTCTGATGCAGAGACATGGGGTGCAGAGATGGAAAAGAAAATGAGAAACCAGGTCAGGAACACTAGAAGAATGAGGAGACAGGCTAGTCTCGCTAGCCAGACCATTCCCCAGCCTACAGTCATTGGGGTGGCCCAATGACTGTAGGCTGGG